GATCAAAAGCTTTTGGTCTTTATATTAATGGAGTGGTGAACAATGCATATAGGACGCTTGGTTTTGTAATGCGTTCTTGTGAGGATTTTACAAATCCGTATGCGATCATCAGTATTTATAATGCTTTTATCAATAGCATCTTGAACTTTGGTAGTTGTGTCTGAAATCCCCAGTATTCTTGCTATATCGACAGACTTTTTTATAAATCGCATCATGTTTACGAAGACTACAACACTGCATATGGAAAGTATGGTTTCACCCTCCGTCAGCGGAGACTATTTGCGGATGCCATGTTCTTGTATAGATTACTCAACGGACTTTGCGATTCTCCTTACCTTCTATCTCGTGTCAATTAACATGTTCCTCAACGTCAATTCCGTTACGATTTCCTTTTCTATGCACCTACACTGCGCACAACCGCTTATAGAAATTCTCCTATCACTAGAATGGAGAGAGCAGTAGACCGTCTCGGCATTGACTTATTTGTGTTCAGTAATCAGAGGTATAAGTCCCTCGCTCGAAACATTATCATAAATGCGCATGAGCGGTTTCAGTTTTAGTTTTAGTTTTATTTTATTTTATGTATAATTCTCTGTTTCGCATACTGTTTAGTTGTTTTTTTTCTTTTTTCTTAATTTCTTTTTCTTCGATGAAGATGCTGATTAATTTTGTATAATTGCATATTGTTATATTGCATATATTGTATTATATATATTATATTGTATGTATTAACTCTGTGGAGCAATGTCTTTGGGTCTGTCCCGTTTTTGCTCCCTTGGAATGTAAATAAATAAATAAATATTACGCAAATTTGTTTATTATAAATAATTTTAAGCGTAAACATATAATACTTATCCAAAATCAATATAAAAACATAATTTAAACTTTTTTAAAAAATAAGAAATCTCAGAGACGATGAAAAAATATATTTAATTTTTATTTTCGGTGCTACACGTGTTTCGATCGAACTATGCGATCTTCATCTGGCACGACTAGAGACAAAGTAAAAATAAGTTTCATTATCATATCAGCTAATTACAAAAAACAAACAAATTAAAATCAAATTTACCGTCAAGTGTTGTTGATTGAAGAACAAATCATCAGGTTGAAATATTTGACAGTAAAATTTGTACGGTTAAAACTAAAAACGTCAAAACAAATGGCTTAATATTAGAAAGTAAAACAGGTTAATATTCTGGAAAAGACAACTTACTTAGCGTCAAACTAAATAAAACTATCACTAAAACTATATTTTAAAAATACGCATTAGACGGAGTTAAAATTAAAAATTAAAAATTCTTTAGTTTAATCGTATGGTATTGATGACAGGGCAGGTGTATGATTGACAATAAAGGACCGATTGTAGATGGAATTTTCTGGTTTTGACGAGATTTATAATCGCATGCGCGTTTGCAGGAAGAGAAAACAGGACAGGCAGCAACAAGAAATTCAAATGAAAATGGTATGCATAACAAAATGCATACAACATAGTACATAAAGTGGATCTAAAGAAAATCGTGGAAACATCTGTTAGTATCGAAGTCAGCAATGTCGTTCATAAGTATATTCTCTTTTTTGTGTAGACCTATATTATATTCCTCATAAAGGTTCAATTCATTTGACTTTTTTAGATTTATAATCAGTTTGACATTTTGAAATTGTATTCTGTGTTTTTGTTCTTGTATGTGTGTATGAACGGCTGATCTTGAACTGGACAAATGTTCTTTGAACCGAGTGTATATATTTCTTCCCGTTTGGCCGATATATATTTTATTGCATTCCGGACATTCGATCTTATAAACACCACTTAATTCCTCTTTTCTATGTTTGGCTTTATTATTAATTAAAAAATTGCTAATTTTGTTATGAGATACAAAAGCAGGGGATAAATTAAATTTTTGTAAATTGTGGTTCAGTTTATTTTCTAAAATAGGGTGAAATGGGAGTATTAAGAATTTTGAGATGTTTTTTATATTAGGAAAAATCAAGTTGTTAAATCTAGAACTATGGACCTTATTATAGATATTTTGTAAAATGGTTATAGAGTAGCCATTATTCATACCAATAGTAATTATCTTCTTAATTTCTACCTCTAGATTATTTATTTCGATTTTCTTTAGATCCACTTTATATACTATGTTGTATGCATTTTGTTATGCATACCATTTCCATTTGAATTTCTTGTTGCTGCCTGTCCTGTTTTCTCTTCCTGCAAACGCGCATGCGATTATAAATCTCGTCAAAACCAGAAAATTCCATCTACAATCGGTCCTTTCTTGTCAATCATACACCTGCCCTGTCATCAATTCCATACGATTAAACTAAAGAATTTTTAATTTTTAATTTTAACTCCGTCTAATGCGTTTTTTTAAAATATAGTTTTAGTGATAGTTTTATTTAGTTTGACGCTAAGTAAGTTGTCTTTTCCAGAATATTAACCTGTTTTACTTTCTAATATTAAGCCATTTGTTTTGACGTTTTTAGTTTTAACCGTACAAATTTTACTGTCAAATATTTCAACCTGATGATTTGTTCTTCAATCAACAACTCTTGACGGTAAATTTGATTTTAATTTGTTTGTTTTTTGTAATTAGCTGATATGATAATGAAACTTATTTTTACTTTGTCTCTAGTCGTGCCAGATGAAGATCGCATAGTTCGATCGAAACACGTGTCGAAGCACCGAAAATAAAAATTAAATATATTTTTTCATCGTCTCTGAGATTTCTTATTTTTTAAATAATTTTACGATGAACCTGGAAATAACATTAACTAAATAATTTAAACTACCTTAAACAGTCACTTTTTGCATTAATATAATTCAACCGATCAGCAATCCAAATATCACAGTTCGAAAAACATAAACTTAACCTTTAATTTCAAGTGTTATTTACAGATATTTTAGACAATATGTAGTACAGAGCGCTAATCGCGCAATTCGTTGAAAATGCATAAAATGGCGTTACTGTGTATATTTAAAATATATGTTTCCGATTGGGAACAATATGCAATAGAGGGTTATCGTCAATATAAAAAATTAAGATTAATTACCGTACTCAAATTAGTTGCTTTATTTAAAGAATATAATTATTATACAAAATCTGATTTTTTAATCCAACATCTTTCATCCATTCCAAACCAATTAACGTACATTCGATTTCCTTTACGTTTTAACACTTTTTCAATTAATTGTATGTCAGGATAGTGTGTACGTTGTAGATATTCACTATAGAAAGCTCCTTTAATATCTTCACCTTTCAATTCCTGTAATAAATACGATACTGGATTGGTGTACTGAATCTTAACAATTTTAAAAACTTCATTACTCCAGTTAGGAGTGTACCCTTTGGCAAATATTCCACGATGTTTAGAAATTCTTACAAAATCGTTCAAGTGAAATTTTGCTTTTAATGTGGTTGTTTTCATTCGATTATAAACAGTATCCAGTAATCTTTTCTCATTATTATTCACTTCCTTTGTCACAGATCGTACATTGAGAGTAGTCCTTTCGGGGACAGTGTCGGAGGAGTCTTCTGTTGGTCATGTAGTGATGTATGCGGATGACACCTACATCGCTTTTGCTGCTCGTGATCTGGAGGAGCTTGCTGATAGAGTCAAGAATGTACTGGAACGTTTCACGGAATCTTTAATTCTAAATTTTCTAAATCTTCTTTAATCTTAATTCTAAATCCAATCTTTAATTTTTACTTAATATTAAAAACGCCGACGATTGCAATATGCTGACGACACAAATGTCAGTGAACTACTTTCCTTTCAATTAGTTTCTAGAATTAGTTTCTGTTATACTGTCCATCGTAGACTATCGTTAAGGTTACAAGTTAAATTACATATAAATTAAATAAAATTGGTTGAATTTTAATTTTGTAAAATAATAATTAATATGACCGTCAATTTTGATTTGTGATCCCTTTAACAACAATAGAAATAGTCTCAGAAGATGGCCAGGGGCCGAAACTAGTCTAACGTCAGATTTAAACTTCAAATTATTTACCTACTTTAAAATTAAAAACAATGGTAGAATGGATTTCAATTATAAGATCTTCGTTATTACTAACCCTTGGACACATAAGTTGGGTTAAATCGTAACAATTTAATGTAAGGAATTCACTGTGTCCTATTAGTAATGGACCAACCTGTATATATTATAAATTATTCTCCTTTTAAGTAAAATGCTTATCCAAGAAAACTTAATGATTAGAGCCACCTACAAGTATTTAGATAAGGAGACACGGTTACTAGCTCAAAAATTGGCTAAGTACGAGCCTCCAAATAGAGAACAACCAGACCCAAAAAACGGGGCCGCTGCATTGATTGTAAGGATAGCAAGACGAAACATGCAGAGATATTTTGTCAATATTGTACGGATAAATCTTTTCAATGTTTTTTGGTTGACCATTGCTTTTAGATAGTAAAAAATATTTATGTTCGTACAAAAAAGAAAAATTGCCGAACTAAAATGCGAGGTGCCGGTTAAAAAAAGAAAAGGATTCAAAAAAATAATTAAATTCTATTAATAAAATCAACAATACAGCTTTAATGCGAAAGCGGTTGCAATGAATACAAACCGTGCAATTAATAAAGAAAATTATAAAGAATGATCGAAAGAATGTAAATAAAAGTAAATAAAATGAAGTGTACATACAAGAATGCGGCGAAATTACACGTGGCGTGGTGGAAATTGAAGGCACACGATGCAGACGATACGGCGACTAGCGGAAGATTGAAATCTTGTCGATTAAGACTGATAACGACGGAAAAGAAGTGAGACAAAATGCGTCACACGTGCGCTTCAATTTTAAAAACAAAAATATTAACATTTATAATAAGATGGCAAATACAATAAAAATAAATTTGAATTTATCTAATTTCATTTTCTATTCCGGTAGGAACATTCACCCACCGAAAAACAACAGTTTTTAAACAAAACAAAACAATGAATTAATTAACAAGAAAACGGTAAAAATGCGATTAACAAAATTTTAAGTTTCTGAAGGTAGGGGACAAAGTTTTATTACAGGGCGTTGTAATAACCCTTGCGTAGTGCCAACGGTTACGACGCGGACAATACCGTCTGCGCCAGGATGACTTTGTGTTATCCGTCCAAGGGCCCATTGTAATGGAGTTTTCATTTCATATCTGATTAATACTAGGGTTCCAGCCTGTATATTTTTTATTGGGACGTTCCATTTACGCCGTTGTTGCAACGTATGCAGGTATTCATTGCTCCATCTTCTCCAAAAGTGTTGAAGCATTCCTTGCAACAGTTGCCATCGCGTGAGACGATTGGATGGTATATTCTGCAACTCATCATTAGGAATTTCAGAGTTTAGAGGGGAAAGAGCTAAAAAATGACCAGGAGTTAGGGTTTGCAAATCGTTAGGATCGGCACTCAAAGGGCATAGAGGCCGGGAATTTAATACTGCCTCAATTTGTACCAACAAAGTATAAAGCTCTTCGTAAGTCATAACTTGTTTACCAACGACTCTGTGTAGATGGGTCTTAACAGATTTAACGCCCGCTTCGGTGAGTCCGTTGAAATGCGGCGAAGCAGGTGGATTAAAAAGCCATTGTATGCCTAGTTCACCGCCGGCATCTTGGGCAAGTTTCGTCAGTTGGTTGTAGGCTCCGACGAAGTTTGTGCCACGATCGGAAAATATAGTAGTGCAACTTCCTCGGCGTGATATGAATCGTCGCAAGGCAGCAATAAATGCATCACTGGTCAATTCGGACACCAATTCCAAATGGACAGCTTTCGTGGAGGCGCAAACGAAAATGCAGATATAAGATTTGAATGTTTTTACACCTCTATACTTGTGGGTGGTGGTAATGAATGGGCCAGCATAGTCAACACCCACCGTTGTAAATGCTCTCAACTGTTGGACACGAAATGTCGGTAAATCTGCCATCATCAATAGGACCTAGGACGGGCTCTGAAACATCTAACGCAATTAGATATTACTTTATATATTACATGTCGAGGTGAAATTATCCAAAACTGATTGGCAACAATAGAAAATAATGTTCTGTAACCAGGATGTAAACACTTTTGATGAAGATGTTCCACAATTATTATATATTGTGATTATCCATGTTGCAAGGTAATTAAATTTAATGAAAAACAAAATAAGTAACCTCTTACTTGCAAATTTATTGTTATTTTACTTCGATACTAGTTTCGAGGTGCTACCTAAAAAATTTTTTTAAAAAATTAGAAAAATGAAAATGTTAACATATAGAACTTACAGTCAAAATTTTTAGAGATGTACACAAGCGAGAAAAAATTCTTTATAGAAAAATATTAAAGATATGAACAAGTTGAAAAGTTTTTTAAAAAATTATACGTAATAAAATTTTGAAGGTCAAACGGGATAAAAATGGTTGAAGACCGGTAACTAAATAAGAGGTTAAATCTAAAAATAAATAATTACCAACAAATATATTATAATATGAGAAAACTTACGATGATACGAAGATAAACCGACGTGGCATAGGCTGCGAGACTTCTAACGTAGAAAAAAGCCGAAAAACGTTAAGAAAATTTATAAAATATGTTAGAAGTCACGCAGCGATGCGGTGGAGGAACCAGAAGAGAAGAGACTAAAACGACTTAAACGACCAACGGAGAAGGAAGCGTGGGTCGGGAAACGTGTTCGCGAGAGAGGGGGAAAAATCAGCATTTAAGTTCAAAATCTTTTAAAAATGAAAAAATTGGTTTTTGAGTTAATTGAAGTTGATCATTAAGAAGGACAAATTCATTATTATTTTTATGTTTAATAATTTCAAGAATCTCAAGAAGATCAAGTTTTTGACTTTTATTACATTTGTGCAAAAGTTTAATATCTTTGTAATTGATGTTATGTCCTGTTTCAATATGATGTTTGTATATGTTGGAATTAGTTTTATTTTTATGCTCGCGAACACGTGCCCCAAGCGCACGTCCCGTCTGGCCAATATATATGGCATTACAATTAGAGCATCCAATCGAATACACACCGCTCTCTTTTAAAATATCAACATTTTTAGGTTTATGGTTAGAAAGAAGATTCATGATGGTATTACTATTAGAGTAAGCAAGGGAAATATTGTATTTAGAAAAGATATGACGGGCCCGGGAAGTGATGTGATTGTATGTTATAGGTTTATAAATTGTGTTAACTTTACTGTTAGTGTGGAGGGGGTCTCTTTGTTGTTGAATTTTATAAAAAAGTTTATCTATGATATATTTAGGGAAATTGTTATTGTGTGTTAACGTATATATGTAGTTTATTTCAGTTAATCTATTAGTTTCGGAAAGGGGATAATTAAAACTCTATTAAAAAGAAAACGGAAGTTAGCTAGCTTATGGGTTAAGGGGTGTTCAGATTCGTAGGGTATTGTGGTTGGTATTGCTGAAGGCTTTCTGTAAATATTAAAATCTATGGAGTTGTTATTATTTCTATTTAAACTTAAATCTAAAAAATTTAATTGTTTATTTTTCTCGATTTCGAGGGTAAAATTCAAATTGTTATGTAAATTGTTAAGATATTCAAGAAAACATATTAAATCTTCATCACTTCCCGTCCATAAACAAAATACATCGTCGACGTAACGTAGCCATTTGGTAACATATTTAAAGTAAGGGTTAATATTATTTATGATAAAAGTATTTTCAATATGATTCAAAAAAATATCAGCTAAAATACCTGACAGTGGCATTCCCATAGGCAATCCCTCAGAAACGAAATAAAAATCTTCATTAAAAGAACAGTAGTTTTGAGTGACAATGTGTCTTAAGATTGTATTAAGATTATTAACATTTTCGTTTTTCTAATTTTTTAAAAAAATTTTTTAAGAATTTGTAGTTTCGACTGAAGATGAGGTAGCACCTCGAAACTAGTATCGAAGTAAAATAACAATAAATTTGCAAGTAAGAGGTTACTTATTTTGTTTTTCATTAAAGTTCCACAATTAGTTCACACAATCGATGACGACTAGGCAGTAAAATTGGGTGTTTTGCGTCATATGGGAGGTCTGAATGTTTGAGTCGTCCACCCACTCTGAGTAAGTTCTCTCTGCTAATAAAAGGCGAGAGTTTTCTAATTGGTTTGGATAATAGCTTGCCAGCTCTAATTTGCTGAAATACTTCTTCGAAATGTTCGTTCTGGACCAGACGAACGATGACATGAAGGGCATTCTGCTTTTCAAATAGCGAAAGCGTTACATTTCTATATCTACTTGTTTTTCTGCAATTTGAAATGAAGCGCAGTACATATGCAACTATATTCTCTATTTTATTTAAATTCGAGAAACGCTCGATCAAGGTAAGTATACAATTTTGAACCCTTTCAGTAATCGCAGCGGTAATGATTCGTTCTTCGGCTGACACGTCATCATCTTCGGAATCTATTGAAGCTTCGTGCGGCCAATTGGACGAGGATTGCGACAACCAAACAGGACCATCCCACCATATATTAGATTTGAAGCATTGATAAACTGAAATTGGGAAATCTTATATGAGTAATCGTACAAATAGGATTTATTTAGATGAATAATTCAATAAAAATATTTTTTCTAATTAAATAGTGTTCTATTGCACCAAACGATTAACGGGTCAATTTGACCCAACGTTCCCACTGACGTCAGCATTATTCACGTTCATTTGTTCCGCGATCTAAGCTGTCCACTAAATCCGCTCGTTCCTTTAAAGTATTTGTTTTGCGTTGTTCCCAATCCCTACTTGAACTATCTTCCATTTTTGTCGTCGCAAGATAGATAATTACCATGTCCTAATTAGCAGGAGGTTGGTTTAACGTCGCGAGCGCGCGCATGTGTTTTCTGATAGTGTCAATAAACACCCGTATTGCCTGTGAGTTTTCAGGTGCTATTTTTCTGTTTCAAATAAAGCTTTTACGTGGTTTTGTACTAGTACTCGTGGATTCTTCATAGTTTGGGTTAGTTATTTCATTTTTCTCCGGGGATGACTAAGATTTGACATGCTGCATCATTGAAGGTAAAGCATGGAAGTCTTCTTGGAATGGAAAAGCACGTGTAACGACTTGAAGATTTTTTCTTCTTTGTTTCAAAGATTTGCTGCTTCTACGAATCTTAGGCTTCTCTTCCAATCAATCCGGCTCGAAGGGCCATTTTATGTTTAGCTTGTTAATTTTTATTGGCGGGTTTAACGCTGGTTCACGAAACACTTATTAATTTTGAATAAAATGTTCTTTATGCTTTAGATGCTTTGTAAACGTATAAATAATATTTTTACGACTAATTTTTCTTTATTTTAACTAAACGAATATATATTTTAATTAGACGAAGAATGATTTCAAGATACGAATGAATTAACGATTCGACTAAGTGGCTGTGACAGTGAGAGAGAGTGATTTTTGCGCACGTGCCTTCTTTATAGCAAAATATAAATTTATAAAAAAAAATCTAAACGTGAATTTACACTTGAAAAATATCAAAATTATATCCTGCACACTGTAACCAAACATACATCAAATATAATTAAATAAATTAAACAAAATCAAAGTTTTTTCAACACTAGAACTAGAAAATTTAATAAATACTTCAGAAATAAAAATTAATTTTATTACTTGTGATTACTAGTTAATGTCAATTAAATAATCCATTACCTAATCTTCTGGTACTGTTTCATTGACGCATTTACACGGTGGACAACACATTCTAGTATGAGCATAACCACCGTCTGCATAGTAATACGGACACTCTCAATGCTCTCAGAACCAGACATGAAACATTTCCTGCTGAGTCTTTCAACGAATGACTTTGAGAAGATCTTGTTGGGATAGGTTCCCATCCATTTGTTAGAAACCTTTACAATGTTATACCTTTTATATCAATTGCTAAAGAAAGAAGTAAATTAGGTTTGGACACATGAATACAATAAAGCAATATAATATAAATTAATTATATTAAAACGCATTAACATCCAAAGATGTTTCACTTCCTTTTAATCAATCTTTGCCGATTCAATTAATTGTAAAAGCATCAAACATCGGTGTTGGAGCAATTTTGTGTCATATTTGTGAAGATGGTATCGTGAAACCAATGCAATTTGCATTACGTGCATTATATAAAATAGAATAGTTAGATCGTGTCAAAACATGGCTGATTGTTTATTTAGATTGCCAATTATTATTGTATAATAATAAAGACAAGGCGGAAGAAGAATATTTTAATAATTATATTGACATCAAAGATTTCAATATAACTGTTAATGATATTTTGAATGGAACACAAAAAGATGAGTGGTTGTAGAATGTTATTCATTTTGTTAACACTCCAGTAGTCGCGCCTCGTGTTGCTACAAGAGTGGTCGCATGTCATCTCTTAGATGACTTTTCAATGCATGCAAAAGTATTAAATGGGAGAGCGGTGATTTTAATAAAATTAGTTTAAAAACTCATAAAACGTATTTATATTTTAATAACATTCATTATATTTAATAAATAACGACAAAAATGGGAACCGTACAGGTTCCAAATTGCAGTAGTTAGTCCAGTAGTTCCTCCACTAGTCACGTCTCCGTCATCTCTTAGATGACACGCGACTAGTGGAGTGTCAAATCGGGACATTGGCCATGTTATGGTTTTCGATTAAGACATTTTAAATCTTTTGCAGACAAGAACTATAATATGAATTTTCAATTGAAAGTAATTGCTTGGTTTGGAATAATAGAATTGTTATACCTGAAAAATTACGAAAACTAGTATTAGATCAATTTCATTTTACTCATTTGGGAGTGGCAAAATTATAATTATTATTATTATTATTGGTGGCAAAACATAAATATTGAGAACTGTGTAAAAGCATGTCAAACTTGTAACTATAACAGTAGAACACTTACTAATAACAGCCTGAAATTTTTTTTGATAGAGTTCATATTGATTATTGTGGA